GTGGGTTTTTTCCTTCGAGAATTGGAGGTGCATATTGAGGCATAGTGTATGAGCCAAGTGTGGAGGCGCTGGCGAGGTCGTCTCCCACTCCAGTGACTGCGGTTGACAAAGAAATTTGGAGGCCAGGGGAAATGGTGAAGGTCGGGTCTCGCCAGTGTGGAGCCATGACGGACGGGCGCCGCTGGAGGCGTGATCAACGAACCTGGTAAATACTTAATGGATGCAATAAACAGTATAACGAAGTGAAATTAAACAAAAAAATTGGTAAATGATTTACCACAGTCGGGGTCAGGAAGTCTGTTAGGCTTACCGAGGCCGCTCCTCGAGCCAACTAGTGACCTTCTCCCAGGCTACATCCCACAACAGTTGATTAACTACCAGCTACGTATTTACTGCTAGGTAACAGCGGCATCAGGGTGAAAGAAACTCTTCCCATTTTGTTTTCTCGCCGGGAACCGAACCCGGGCTACAGGATTAAGTTTACAGCGTGCTGTCCACACAGCCACCGGTGTGTGTGTGTGTGTGTGTGTGTGTGTGTGTGTGTGTGTGTGTGTGTGTGTGTGTGTGTGTGTGTGTGTGTGTGTGTGTATATGAGAACGTGCGTGCGTGCTTTTGCTGCGTGCGAGAAAAACACGCGCGGACGTACAGTCGTGTGGGTGTCCAACATCCTGCTGGATTAAACATATTTCGTTATCTTTGTTTTGATAGTGTTGGAAAGTTTGAAGTCTAAAATGTAATTAAGAGATTTGAGCAATACTTAAGATAATTTATACGAGCACTTTTAATACCCAAGAGGCTATCCTAGGTGGCGCTCTGTGCTTACGGGTAATTTGGCGCCCTTTGTCTTGCAAATTTCCCAAGCCACTGGTCAATAGTGTTGTCCCTGGCAACACACACACACTCCGCCTCATACTTGAACCCACTTGAGTTTGATGATCAACAATTTAGTTCACCGTGAACGACATTTTCTCCACTAATTACACCCATGTCGTGCGCAGCATGAACACGCGTGCGCATGTAGACAGGCACCTGTTTGTGCACGTACGCACGCACTCGGGCGCCTGTCTGTGCACGTACGCATGCACTCGGGGTCCTGTCTGCACGTACGCGTGCTGCTTCCTAACTAGACGTGTTTGAGCTGTGAATAAAGACATGATTAGGGCATAAAAGGTACTGGAGAGCATGCGGATGGCGGACAAAAAAAACAAGTGGAAGGCTCTGGCACCAGGACCGAGAGGGCCAGAGGGGACATAACAACATCGTAGATATATGGGAGTAGACACTTCCTCAGTGTAAGGTAATTATCAGGAGAAAGCGATAAACCTGTATGACAACCACTCCTAAGAGACAGAAGGATAAGTGAGCACATTTTTGTTAACTTCAAGTGCTTCGGGGAATCGAACGTAGACTCGCTAAGAAGCCATGACGGTCGCTGTACCCAACCGCCCTAAGGGGATGGACTTCGGTGAGGGAGCAGGTGGTGGAACGATTTAAGAAGAAACATGTTCAAGTTTGAGAGTCTAGCAGAGGTTATACTGACCCAAGATGTTGGATGAATGTCGATGGGTACAGCAGTAGTGACCACAGTATTACGGTGGCAGGATAATACTACACCAACAAATCATTGCATTCATGCACGGGAACACGCATACGCTTGAATTGTCTGGCGAACGTTTGAAACAATCCCACGTACATTAACTGGTATTTTTGTTCCATTAACCAGCAAACCTAGTTCCAAACCGGTATTTACCCAGGTCTTTCCTAAATATTAACGTGTATTCATTCATCTCGCTTCATGCAGGTCGGCGTTCAATCCCCAACCGTCCAAGTGGTCAGGCACCATTCCTCCTCCTCCCCCCCCCCCGTCCCATCCCAAATCCTTATCCTGACCCCTTACAAGTGCTATATAGTCGTAATGACTTGGCGCTTTCCCCTGATAATTCCCTCGTGTTATATTTGTGAAGATATATTTTAAACCTTATAGTCGGGTGGGTATACTTGCAAACACGTGGGCAGCCACTGGTGAGTATACGCAGGCACATGGGCAGCCACGGGTGAGTATACGCAGGCACGTGGGCAGCCACGGGTGAGTATACGCAGGCACGTGGGCAGCCACGGGTGAGTATACGCAGGCACGTGGGCAGCCACGGGTGAGTATACGCAGGCACGTGGGCAGCCACGGGTGAGTATACGCAGGCACGTGGGCAGCCACGGGCGAGTATACGCAGGCACGTGGGCAGCCACGGGTGAGTATACGCAGGCACGTGGGCAGCCACGGGTGAGTATACGCAGGCACGTGGGCAGCCACGGGTGAGTATACGCAGGCACGTGGGCAGCCACGGGTGAGTATACGCAGGCACGTGGGCAGCCACGGGTGAGTATACGCAGGCACGTGGGCAGCCACGGGTGAGTATACGCAGGCACACGGGCAGCCACGGGTGAGTATACGCAGGCACGTGGGCAGGCACGGGGCGAGTATACGCAGGCACGTGGGCACCCACGGGGCGAGTATACGCAGGCACGTGGGCACCCACGGGGTGAGTATACGCAGGCACGTGGGCACCCACGGGGCGAGTATACGCAGGCACGTGGGCTCCCACGGGGCGAGTATACGCAGGCACGTGGGCACCCACGGGTGAGTATAGAGACTTGCACACGCACAGTCAAGGAACGTACGCTCCCAAGCTCTACTATCTGGAGCAGCTTGGCTGGTGGCCGCGGTGCAGGTGCTCTCAGCTGGGGTCAGTCAGTGTAGTGTACACCACTCAGTGTGAGCGCTCGCTCGCGTTCTTCTTTCCCGCGTTCTCTCACCTGTGACGCGTGTTCGAATATTTGTCACAACGAGCAGTAACACGTGTTCGGATACACATGAAAATGTTGTTAATGTCTTAATATATTCTAATCTTAAATATGTAAACATTTCAATGTTGGGGAAAGCTGGCAGACCGCGGGGGGAGGAGCTGGCGCTGGATTCGAATTCCAGGAGGTGTTTGGGTGGAGCCATTTTGTTATATGAAGTTTGAAAGTCTACACGAAGCCAAGGAGGAATACACAAAGGTGTTGAAGGGGGGGGGAAGTGGAAGCACATACAATGAGGAAACCCATTACTGTTCTTCGTGTTCTGAATTCATGCAGCTCGTTTTCTGGGACTGTTTGCCTCGCCAGAGACCGCGAACGCTATAGCAACGCCCCAACTCGTAGAGAGTCCAGTGGGCAATATTAGTGCTTTAATAGTTATTAATACGTGTTACTTCTGACGGTTTAGTAAGATTCCGTGACATATACGACGTTATTAAGCGAGAGGACGCGAGCGACCTCAAGGCAGCGCCAGAAACTGGGTCAAAGCAACGTTTGGCTGCGTCATGTTTGTTTTGTGACCCAGAAGACTATTCTTTACGATATATGGACAGAATTTGTCCAAACAGCCCGTACATCGTGTACAGTGACGGAGTTCATATTCGCGAGTCTGTAACGCGTGACGGGCATGTGGTGCGCAGTGTACGGCCTTTCCCCTCTGTATACCGTGCATAAGTATACCAATACAAATATGTGGAAGGAAGATGACGATGTTTTTGCCCGTCCTGGACTTGAAGATAGACAGGGGGGAAGGTAGGTAGTGTGTTTTCAGCCACGTTACAGTTAAGTATCCTCAGTATACAGAAAACACCGGCTAAATCTTGACATGTGTTCAGGATTAACGTATGCAGCAGGATGATCTGTGTAAAGGATAATTCGCGTGGAGGCTTAACCTAAGGAGTGCCAAGGATTATACTGTAAGGTTGTCACTAGAACACGGACTATACGACCTTAATTACATACTCCGACTTGAATATTAAAACCTAAGTTAACCTACCAACGTCATTTAACGTCAGGTCCAAGTAGCCTATTTCAGGTAATGATGAGGTCGGCGCCGTGGTAGGTGAACACGCAAGGCCGCTTCTAACCCCCACGTCCTTGACCCCTGGCCTGAATTACTTCGTTACGTCACTTGCAAATTCCTCCAAGGTAGTTCACTCCTCGTGACCCGTGTATCGACACGCAAGACGCTGCTCACAGTCACTCTCGTCTTGTCATTTACAGTGAGAGTTTTGGCAATTATTTCCCCGCACGTAAACTTGTAGGGCGAGGGTGTACAGACGTGGTGAACCTCGGGTGCTAGTTTACTGTATACACTCGAGTATTGAACTATACATTAAGCGACTCGTAAGGGATTATTAGTTAACCAAGCTTAGGATTTTCTTTTGTTCATAAAATCCTGATTACATGCATATTAAGGGTGAAGGGTGGTCCTCCCTCCTGATGCTTGCTTAGTCTACAGATATTAGCATGTATCGAGTGGGGAGATAAAGGTCATAATGGTTAATGAATTAAATAACTTTTAATCCGATATAGTGCTTTGAATTTGTGGATTATTGTAATTCCCAGAAATGTAACTTTTATGTATTATGGCGACTGGTGTCGTGGTGGCATCACCCGCTCTCTGTAAGTCATGACTGCCAGTTACCGCCTGACGCCTCGGGTGACAAGTCAGTATTAGCCAAGTCTCTCCCTTTTACTTGAGTGTAATCAAACAGTTTGCGGACTTTTGTATACTAACAAATTATATTTGTTTTCTATAGCGCGAAATATATAGCTCAGATACTCACATGTTTGTCAGTAGAATTATTTAATTGCGGAAGTTAATTTTATATAATTTTCAATTTTGCTGCTCGTTTTCTATTGGTATAATGTTTGAGACCTCTGTCAGGCCTGTACACACTAACCTCTGGCCACAGTTACGTGGTGTACGCCGCTTCCCAGTTTGTTCCATTATATACTCTTGACAACTCGTGTTTTGTACTACTGAGATATGATTTGCTCGAGGGTTTTCGGAACATTGTTTATGGATTTGTCGTAGATTTGGAAAACAAAAATAAACGAATATTACCAAACTTTGAGTGGAAAGTAATCTCATGGGATGGAATAAACTTTTATTATGTAACTTATCGAATTGGAAATATTATTCAGAGTTGTTTTGACTTCTAGGACTAGGTATATATAGCCGTGAGACACGGGTGGTTACAGTGCCCTCTGGCGGAGGTGGTGGTGAGGGTGGGGAGTCTTGCGAGGAGTGAGCTGGGTGGGTCTTGAGCCCAGTCACACCACACACTGCCGTTGACACCTGCGGCTGCCTCACGCCCTCCACTCTCATATTTACCTGTTGCACCGATAAGCTTCGCGGATATTTTACTGTGTTCGTTTTCTGTACCTAAATGCAGAAATGGTCGTGTGATAGAACATTTACATTTTGTACCAGAACTGCAACACTGAAAACTTAAATAACAATCTTGCACCGGAAATTCAGTGTTTTAGTTAATAAAGTGTATCCAGGCAGTATATATATATATATAACTGGTGATGGAAGTGGGTGTATGATGTGTGGTAACGGGTGACTGGTCATGAACCACGACCCTCGCTCTGCAGGTCGTCCGCCACCATGCCCAAGAAGGCTCCCGCTCCCATCACTAGTGACCAGGGCCATGGTAAGAGACGACGGGTGCCCAGGAGGCCTCGGTACGCGAGTAGATTCAGAGCAGAAGAATTGCCGCCTATACAATCATTATCGTGTAGTGATCAGTCGGATTTGGCTAAAAGTGGCCGGTATCACGAAGAGGAGCTGGGTTTGGCGTCCATTCATCCTCATATGCGCAGTTCGGACACGGATTTAACCAGACGTCGAAGGCTGACGCGCACGGATGGATGGGAGGTGCCGAAGACTGTGTCGTTCTCGCTCGGCGGGAACCTCCTCAAGGGTCGGCGTTCGTCCAGAGAAGACCAACTCTCCCCCTCGAGACTTCCCTTCTCCTTCAGCCTGGAGTACATCCACAGGACCTTCGGCAGGAGCGCCTCTGACCCCTCCGTTCTCCACGACTACGACGGTGCTGGTGATGGAATATTTGTGTGATGTGTGTTCATGCTGCCGTGACCCGTGACGTGCCACTTGACTTGCGTGAAATATTACGGCCTTGTAGCTACACTCATTTTGTATGTTATTTGACATGGTTGATTAGTAATTGTGGCATGCGTGTGACCAAGTCAAGTTTCTCCTCTTGCAGCAAGATTGTTGTTTGGCACTCATTCACCATCCTCGTATATTTCTGTGTGCTGTTTTTATGCATGATTTTTTTCTATGGGTATTCGGCACGGATAGATGTGCACGCACGCACTCACGCTACATGTGGTGTCCGGCTGTGTTAATGTCTCATCTCCTCCCTTCTCCTTCCCTCTCAACACAATCCTTCTCCCCCCCCCCTGATATCACTCGGCCCCCCCCCTGATATCACTAGGCCCCCCCCCTGATATCACTAGGCCCCCCTGATATCACTCGCCCCCTCCTGATGTCACTCGTCCCCCCTCCCCCCCATACCACTTGCTCCCTCCCCTCCCTTCCCCACATCACTCGCGCCTCCGGACTACTTGTGAATTCAGAAGTCGTATAGCTTGTACCACGACCCAGATCCCTGGTTCGAATCCCTTCATTGCTCCAATGTTTTGAGTGATATTAAGGTATTTGTGCTTGGTTGAAGGCATTGTGCTTGACCAGTTTGATTAAATTTGAAGGTAGTTTTGTTTGTGATAATTGGTGTAGTACAGTGTGAGCGAGGTGTTAATAGGTTTATGAAATTTGAATTAGCTTGGGTTTGGTTTGGTGAATTCTTATGTGAAAAGATGTTTCATTTAACCATCTTTAATTGCTTCATTTCATTCTAAAGGGTTTTACGAAATGCATTGAAGAGATAACTTGTATTGTCCTCATTTCTCTAACGCGCGCGCACTATCTCCATCTCTCTCTCTCTATATATATATATATACATATCTACCACTGGTGCGTGCGCGCCTCTGTGCGCGTATAGTTAAACATACACTACTAGATCTTGTCATAAAGTGCAAGAGCAATAGGTGTTGTGTAATTTTCAACGCTAATTGATCGTGTTAAATCACGGCATTATTGAGACACGCTAAGCTTGGGAGAGCATTATTAGCCACACGTGACCCAGCAGGACGTGTGCGACTCGTGTCAGAGGACCCATGCTAGGGGGGGGGGGGTCTTCATATTATGGGACCGGTGAACACTTCTGAACCGGTTAGGTTGTTAAGCAGTAGGTGTTCTCTGATAACACGAACCGCTTATAGTTTTAAATTCGGGTTCAAATTACTGCTGGGTGAACAGGCGCGAGGCAATCAGGTTATTCCATACTCTCATGTATGCTTAATTTTTATACCCTTTAATTTGCAAGTACTTTTTAACATTTAAATAATTACATTTATTAGCTAAAAACCATAAGTTAACACACAGGGCAAACAATTATATTTGTTTAAAACATGACTACAGTTCCAGCATTGGCCAGGAGGCCTAATGTCTGGCAGACACCACATCCAGTGGTGCCTACAGTGTTTAGCTTACTGATCTTACTGCTCCCAATGCCATTGCATCATGTTAGGTTGTTCAAGGGAAATAGACTGATAACCAGCCGCATGTTGATAGTTGTGGCGGCCGTGTAATCCCTGTGAACGACAAAAGGGGTCAAGTATAGGTAATGTTTGGAGTGCAATAGAGATGGTAGGAGCTGGCTGCGTGTTACTGCCTCATTTAGCCAGTAACTGAGTGCTTGTCATTTAACGTTCTGTAGGGCCTTGGTGCCGCCTCTTACCAGATCCAACTCCAGGTCAGGGTCAAGTTATTAACACCCTGTATTTACCGAATAGTAATGATCAATCCAACGGGAATGGGGGTAAACAGTACCATACCAAACCATCACCACATTTTTTTTTAACTGTATACACTTATTACATATTTACAACACTGATAACACCGCACGTGTCACTTTGACACAGGACACTATAATATAACTCCAGTAATCTATCCCGGCGAGTCCTTCGTACTCAACGATACTTCCCTGAGCCTTTCTTCTAAGGTAATTACTCTGGCGAGTCCACTTTTCTCAGCAATTCACAGACCAGTCCTCCACAGTATCATCACAGTCTAAACACTACTACAAAACTCTAGCAACATGCTGGTGGGCTTCCTCTAAAGGCTTCACCGTTAACAAGCCTTAACTTGGAGGGCAGACGGACGATAATTCCATCTCGTAACACAACTGGGCCACCCCGGGATACCTCAGTCCAGTCACCAATAGCTCGCTGGCTACCACAGACAACTCCCTGTCTCCACCTACTAGGCCCTACTTAGTTCCCTTCCCCCCGGCACGCGCACATACCTGGTTGGTACCTGGTTGATGGGGTTCTGGGAGTTCTTCTACTCCCCAAGTCCGGCCCGAGGCCAGGCTTGACTTGTGAGAGTTTGGTCCACCAGGCTGTTGCTTACATGATAGAATATCCTGTTTTTTTCAAAATGTAGGTTACTGATGAACCAATCCACAAGGGCCGTGAAGTAGGTTCGAACCTACGTCCGAGAGGATCCCAGACGCTGCCTTACCCTCGTCACCACCCTTGTGGATTTGCTCATTTGATGCATCACGCTATTGTGATTTGTGTGTGTTAGGTTACTGATCATAGGGTCGTTGACGTAAGTGACTCGGTGGACAAATGTACAGGAAAATGTCCAGGAATGAGGATGTAGGAGTGATCCTACAGTCACTCTCGGAGGGAAAATGGTAAGTAAACAAAACCTGGAAGTTTACAGAGTTCTTCCCGGACGTGAATATTTACCAGCGAACACAGTGTAGCTCCACGCGGACACCTGACCAACACATCTTTGGTTCTCCTAAACGTACAGAGTGAACCGTATTTGTCTACTGTTATGACAAGTTACTTAGAGGGTCGCCAAGTATGTAACTAGACACACAGGCGTATCCACCCCGCCCTTGTGTACTGTGATGGCCAGACCCATTACCGTAGCTCCAGGGAGTCCACTTCACCACGCGCTACTGTTTGGGTGAATTCCTCACCGTAAGTGGTGTGTGGGTGGGTGGGTGGGTGTGTTTGGGGGGGGGGACCTGAACGTGACTCATGGGCGGTACTCAGCCTGGCGTGCGTAAGTGATGGGGAGGGGGTGGGGAGGGGTGGAGTTGGTGCGTAGGTGGGAAGGTGGGTGGGTGGAATAATTGGAAGGTGGGTGGGTAGGTGAGTAATGTGGTTAAGTGTGATTTAGCTCGTGTTGGGAGGGGAGTGGGGGGGGAGTGGTAGTGAAGCAGCGTTAGGTGAGGACTATAGAACTAAACAAGTGAGACTGCCTCGCTGCTCGGCTGCTCGGCAATATGTAGGTATAATTGCAGAAACTTAACACCACGTGCATATGTAACCATTGACAGAATGTGTAATGCTGTCTAACTTTAAATCCGTATTTAAACCCTAAATTGAGATTTTTTTTCTTAAGACTATCTATACGGCCAAGATGATCAATATTAGAATGCTAAGCATTGGCATGGAATCCTCATTATGCGAATCACAAAAACTGAATGTGCAGTTTTACAACAAGACTTGTGCCTGAATAAAGAGGATATGGCTGCGAGAACACAATAATGTGACTGCCATAACCCTAGAGAGAAGAGAAGGAAGAAGGGGAACATGATCGCGACCTGCACAATGATATAAGAAAAAAAAAGAGAACTATCTTCAAAGTGAGTCGAAATGGGAACCGCAGATTAACCGAGAAAGAGGGAAATAATAACCAATATGGATGTTATAAGTAGTAGTGCGCACAGAAGGGGGAAAATATAAAGGGGGCTGACCCCCCCCCCCCTCCATACACACCAGGAACGGGTAACACACAACTTGACGCTCTATAATGTTAACACACCAGGTTCAGAGTCAAGTAATCACTGTAATGCGAGCTCTGTTAAATTCATTCCATTATCGTTGACATTTAACATCTATCATTTGTAACACATCAGCGATGTCTTGAAACTACACTATTCCTCAAAATTTAATGTTTATCAGCAGTGTTTCCGTGCTGACACCCACTTTAATTCAACTTCCCGTATTCTACGGTCTGCTGATTTGTAATCTACTGACGTCTAATCCAGTTCAATTGAATGTAGTTCAATCTCATTATTTTCTCAACATGACTTGTCTTTCGACGTTTGTGCTCGCAAATGAAGGACGATCTGCATAAAATTTCACAAGGAATCTGTCAATAAAAATTTTAATAATAATAATAAAGGAATCTGTTTACACGTGTACCTGGCATTTTCGTTATTGTTTGCGTCATACATGTGAGCTTTGTATCTATCTGTAAGAGTATCCAAAGCTGGAGGTCTCCCGGAACTGACAACTCTGTGTGGGTGGGTGGGTTTGGGGGGGGGGGGGGGGGTGCGACTTCCAGCTTCCCTATTAAAAAAAAAAATAGGCTCCTATTGCGTACCTCAGCCAACTTCTATGAAGTCTGGAAATGGGGATTTGGTTTAAGAGTTTTTAAGAGATTTCCAGCCTTTCATTATGTCCCAATTTACATTGTAATCAAACTTTTTTTTTTACCGTCGTTCTTACAACATTGCCAAAGTAACAGCTGTAAAAATAGAGGGGGGGGACGCGAGTGTAAGCTGGGTACAAAGTGAGTGTAATAAACCAGTTAACATGATCTTGGTGATAACGTGTGGCTGGTAGTGACACACTAGGCGTTGTTTACCGTTCTGGTGATAGGCTGCAATGTGGAATATATCATTTTAATGTTTAATGATGGTTTTAATTTTTTTCTTTGGTTTATACAAGTCTCAACTTTTAAAATTGTGGTCTTGTTCAATAAAAAAACAATTTTGAACGTTATTCTCGAATATCTAAATAAAAATTTGATACTTGTATCAGCATGATTTATTACATATGCACTACTTTGTTTTTGAATAGTGGTGTTTAGTTTGTTAATACAGATAACGGTTAACTAACAATTATCTCGTTTTGCAGACGACGTCGGTGTAATGGCAGCACTTGGAGCACAGTACCACACCCCTGGCAACACCATGGCAGGTGGCAACGGAGTCTCCAGACTTGCCATGATGCAGGTAAGCCCATCTTGCCCTTACACATTGTCTTTTGTATATAACAGAGACGTCAATAGATACATACTGTTGAGCCAAGAGTCTCGTGTTCTCTCTCTATAGAATGTTAGGACCTAATAACGAGACTACGTGAAACTGTAGCCTACTTGAAAATTACGTGAAACTGTAAACCTGGTGGCCCAACCACAATATTTATTTAACCTCTTGACAGTTATCCCACATCTGTTATTTTATTTCATAAATTGCCTACCATAATTCAATCTTGAAAATGTTTTATTTTGAAATATTTAAGCGTTTCTTAATTTCACCCTTGATACCCTTGTATTTGTTTGTATATAGTACTCGTATCCTACTCTTCGCCTTTGTAGGGAATGTGAATTAAGGTTTCTAAATCTCTTGCAAACATTAATTTCTAGGAGTAACTGTGTCGTCCCGCTCAGACACGTTGAGGGAATTTGCTCCTGTATCGCGCTAACCTAAACTGAACTGCATAATCTAAATGGCAAGATTATGCTGAAGAATATCATTATTGTGTATGCTAACATGTCTCCATATCAAATTTCAGTAACATATTTTCTTATTTCGTTGAATATACTTTTTTTTTTTACACAAGATCCCAACGAATCATGACCACCAGTTCTTTTTTTACATTTAGGGTTTTCAATTTCAACATTCTTCAGCTGGTACCCGATATCTATTACTTATAGTCAGAATCAAACATTTATCAACGTTTAACAGTCTGTCCAAGGCAGGAGGCCAAACTATTGGGGTTAATTTCGCCCAACTTGTAAAAGATAACACATGAGTGGTATGGGACTGCCATAGATCGGTCGTAGTGTGTGTCTTTAAGAAAGATCAGCACCTATTCAGTCCCAGTCACTCCTATGAAGTCTGAAGGGGAAATTTTGATTACCATCGTTAAAGTTTTTCAGCTGGTTATAATATCCCAATTTAATATGTAACCACAAAATTTTAAATAGGTTATTACAGCGTTTAATCAAAGTAACGATTGTAACAATAGTGGTTAGTCTCCACCAGTGTCTTTGTGGGGTAGTATGTTCTTGGTGAGGGAGGGGGGGGGAGAACTTGCGGAAAAAGAGGGGGGGGGGAATGAGGAGGAATAGCGGGGGGGAGAACTTGCGGAAAAAGAGGGGGGATTGGGGAGGCATGGGGGGGGGGGAGAGAGACGCCCAGGAACCCCATCTAATTATATATAAATAAAGTAAATAATCCACCCGTAACCAGCCCCCGCTCCGTTGCCAGGTAAGTCCACTACGGGCTCACCATAGCCCGTGCTACCTGGAACTTTTCGTTCCCGGTAACTGAACCCAAAACAACCCCTACGTGTGAGGGCGCAGTTGTGCTTGCGCAGACACGTGCTGCAGTTCACAAAGTCTGGTCACGCTGCTGGTCTCGCCTGCTCTCTGCATAATATATAGATATTCACAGTACAATTGGTAATGCGTCTCTGAACACCAGGGTGTGTGTGTGTGTGTGTGTATGTGTGTGTGTGTGTGTGTGTGTGTGTGTGTGTGTATGTGTGTGTGTGTGTGTATGTATGTGTATGTATGTGTGTATGTATGTGTGTATGTATGTGTGTATGTATGTGTGTGTATGTGTGTATGTATGTGTGTATGTATGTGTGTATGTATGTGTGTATGTATGTGTGTATGTATGTGTGTATGTATGTGTGTATGTATGTGTATATGTATGTATGTGTGTATATATATATATATATATATGTATATATGTGTGTATGTGTATATATGTGTATATGTGTATATATATATGTATGTATATATGTATGTATAAAATAATGTAAAAGAGCTAGGCCTCGGCTGCCTGTCAGTAATAGAGCAGCACCAGTATCAGTGGTGGTTGGGGCGCTTTACTTAATTTTAAACCTCAAATTAGTGAGGGAATATAAAAGGTGACCATAATGTCAATCGGTATGACTTAAACTGGACGTTTGTAATGTAGGCCCTACCGTAACCGCCCAGACGGTAGTTGCAACCCTTAACCTTTATTTATATACCTTTTTGTTACAAGGTATGAATTTAACCATTCACACGTCGTGTAGTCTTGCTTTAAACAGTACTTGCAGCTTTCATCTGTGGCAAATGTAACTGTGTGTACATATTCGTAAGCAGCATCCTGTGTGTGGCCGTGCTGGTGGTGGCGTGATGTGCCCCTGCTCGCACGAGTTTTATAATTCATAGCCTAGTATATAGGTCTGGTCGCTGTGTGTTGTGCTGGTGTAGGAGTGCTCGCACGTGTGTGTGATGGTCAGTATGGCGTCTGTAACCTTCTGGTGACGAGGGAGGCGGGTGAGACTATTATACGACCACAAGATTATGACGACAGTGAATTCTAAATTGATTAAGCCAAAGTCAAGTTACTGGTCGACTCTTCGGACAAGGTTAGTGTTGCCATGGCAATTGTGAAAACAAAACTTGATGCGCGCGTCGACTGCGCGACGTAATGTGAGCGAAAATGAAATTCACTAATTCACATATAAAATACTCTAGTTTCACAGCGAACTTATAAACATATTTATACTAATGACGTACAGTTAAAAGAAGAAAAAAAACTTGCCAATGGAAACCTCGGCTAGATCTGACGTGCGAGGTATTCCAAACACCTGAAACACGACTTGAGAATTCTTGTCTGAACATATTTGGTAGGCGAGCGGAGCAATTTGCGTGAGGCGCGGGCATCAATGGACCCGTGAGCGTGGCGCGGCCGCTGGCGGGGATTGCTACAGCAACAATAATAACAAGGCGACCGCTGCCCGGAGTTCCAGGTGAGGTGAAGCGTGGTGGCGGAGGCACACGCCCCAGTCGCACGGTGTTGCTTGTGGCGGATGTCGGGTCGGTGCGCACTCGCAGCCTCTTGTCTTGCGGTGCTGGAACTTTGACGCAGAGAAAGTTAGTGCGTTCACTACCCCACAAACACCGAGTTAGTTTGCTGTTCAGTTATCATGGAATTGGCTTCATTTCATGTAGCAGAATAACCCGTAGTTACATAATTTAGAGCCCCATATTTGGTGAGAAATAGCCTCGTCAGCTAAGATTGCAGTATGACAAAGCATGGGGTCTTAAGCCATGCATTAGTCTTAAGTATAACGTACTCCTGAGGCTTTCAGGAATAACTGATGCGGGTAAGTTATCGGTGAGGTCTCTGACTTGTGCAAGCTTGATCCCTTTGTTTAACAAATATTCCTTCATTAAGTAATAATAAATTTCATTGCCTAACTAATCTTATTCCATAACAAATGTCGTCTGTGGAAGCGGTGTGTACAACGCGACTGTTCTATAATGGAATGCATTTGGAATAGTCGGTATTGCTACGAAATATCTGATACAATCCCCCAAAGAAAATAAATGAATTGTCCAACATTCCAGAGTACAACACCTGAGAAAATATTTAATATCTGTCAAAGAAAAAAAATAGATACGGAATTTTTGTGTGAATAAGAAACGTTGGAGATATTTGAGTGAAGTTGCAGCGGGCTTGGTGTAGAAGAAAGTGATTATAATTGTGGCAGGTTGCCGGTATGGCAGCCTTGCTGGTCTACTACATGGCGACTCATTGATCAGTGATGTTGACATTAGTCTTCAGGCGTGTGTGTACAGGCGGGTGTTCCTTGGTTACCGGAAATGTTTATCCATCGTGCATTCATTGTATAGATTTGAATTATTGTCCACTTTTGGAAATACAAAGCGTCAGTTATTGATATTAAATTTACACACAAATGTATTGAAACCAATCTGTAACTGTCCATGTAAAACAGACAAGAATGTGTATGGTGGTTACCATTGTAAATGAATGACCACCTAGGTCGAAAAACATATATTCGTTTCTTAACCATAAAATATAAATATATATATATCATTCACTTGCGCCATTCGAGCCTCGACCATGTACAATAAAAGGAGCAGCCCACAGTTCTACCAACTGGGTCACGAGCACCCACAATAAGGAAGCGTCCCAGAGAGTGACCCAACTGATATCCAAAAGGAACTTTAGGCCTTTCCTGAGGTACCACATGGGCATGGAGGAGTTAGGTGATCATATAAATTTCTTGTGCAATTTATATTTATGACGTTGATCAACGCTTGCATACTCAAGTGGCACCCCATGGAAGGCCCAACGTTTCAGTTGGGTGTGTCTGGGATCCTTCTTTATTGTGAGTGCGCTTGTGGCTCAGAGCATTAAAGCAGTTGTGGGATTTTGCTTTTATGGTCTGTGGTTCGATGGTCCAAGTAAAATAAATATATATATATATATATATATATATATATATATATATATATATATATATATATATATATATATATATATATATATATATATATATATATATATATATATATATATATATATATATATATATATATATATATATATATATATATATATATATATATATGTATAATATTGTATAATATACATAAATTGTGTATATATAAAATATAAAATATATAAATATATATGTATATATATATGTATAAATATGTATATATATGTATATATATAATAATTTATTCACACGAAGTATTTGATAGCGCCCGGGTCTCTCCCCCATCCCCTTTTGTCCTCCCCTTTTAAGTCTTCCCTGTCCCCAGCTTTTTTTTTTCTCATCCCCCCTTTATTTTTATTTTCTCTCCTAGTCCTAGGGGGGGGGGGGTCGTAGTCCTGGGGATGTGTGCCGCGCCTTTGAAATATATGTAGTAGATATAATGGAAAATAGATTAGAAAGGCGGGGGTCCAAGAGCTAATAGCTCGAATCTGCACGCACGCACACACATTATATTGTGCTTATATTATATATTAGTAAGCTGGGTACAACTGTCTTAGTGCAAGACGGTGTGCTCCTGAAGATGTCACATTGCTGACGAAACGTAGACCAATAAAAATAGAAAGCTTAAGTGTTTCTTCGCCCTCCAGATGGTAGGAGAGAGATGCGTAGAATGGAAAATAGCCAAAAGAACATTAATGAT